AGAACCTCAAGCGCTTAAGTTCTCTCCAATGATTAAGATCAAGCTCAAACGTCTTGGTTTTAAATAAATGTAAATATAACTACATACTAATTTACTTCATTGGTTATGCAATTATTTACACTAAGTGCCCACATCGTCCTGTTTATACGCTCTGAGTACAAGTTGAGAGGCGTTGATGACATTGATAAGGTCATCTTAGCTGAACTCCTGATCCTCTCCAAGATGCAGATAGAGTTGCATGACGCAGCAAAAAGTTTAATGATACATGGCCCTTGCAGAGATTTCAACAAAGATCACCTTGCATGATAAACGGTGTGTTCTAAACATTACCCAAGGTGTTTCAGCCCCACAACATCCATTAATGAAGATGGGTATCCAGAGTATTACAGAAGGAACACTGGCATAATAGTAAACAGATGTGGAAATTTCAAATGAATTTCTAATCAAGCCGGAAGATAACTACCTAATAACTATCGTTAATAGCATTTATCGTAACCTGCAAGAATGCCCAGCAATCCAACTTACTTGAAGGAAAGAGCGATGCTTGAAGATTTTGATTCATTCTAAAGATCAAGGATTTTCCTCCAATGTCGTAAATGATGTCTATATAGAGGTTTTCCAGAATTTAGAAGCATAGTCTTTCAATTTTATAATGTCTTACAGATCCCAACCTCTTTATTCTTATATATTACGGAGTATATAATATTATTTTGAATTAATACGCATTTCAATGCTTTTATCAATGAGATTTAAAAAATTCATACGAAAGATATATTTCACATATGCAGAAAATTATAAACTAAATATTTCATATGGGAGTTGCACCCGGGGCAACGCCCGGGTACAGAACTAGACATTTGGCATCATAATAGTAAGCTGTTTGATAGTAAGAATGTCGACCCCTTTTCACTAGCTGGAAAGTGACATTTATATAGTAAAAAGAAATACTTGAGCAAAAAGTAAAATTAACTAGTCTAATAGAGTGCACCGTTGACACATGTAAAGCTAATTGGTGGGAGAATAATCAACAGCTAGCTGATTGGTACTGTCTGCACAAGAGTTTGTCCTATACGCACTGGAATGCATAGATCAGGCTTGGGTAGCTGTTATGTTGGTGACGTAATCAAGCATGTATGTGGAGTTCAGCTGATGAAATGTCTAAGTCCACAATCCTTATGCGAAGTCTCGAGCTTTGTGGTAGAGGTGGACATATCGGTTTTTGGTTCAGTATTTATCGGTTTCAGTTTGGTTCGGTTTGGAATGGATTGGAAGAATTATTACCAAACAAAAACCATACTATCTTTCGATTTGGTTCAGTTCGCTTTAGTTCGATTTTGTTCGGTTTGAATTTGTTACTTTTTAATAATATATGAAGGTTTTATTGAATTTCTTTAGTTTTGTTTCGTTTATTCGGTTTTTCTCAGTTTCGGTTCGATTTAGTTTAATAAGGTTTAGAAGAATTACTACCAAACTCAAACCAAATTACATATGGTTCAGTTTAGTTCAGTTTGGTACAATTCAGTTTGGTTAAACCGAACCAGTTTGCCCACCACTACTTTGTGGTAGAGGTCGAGCTCGGAGTAGCATGTTCAATTACGAGAGTGGTAACCTCAGCTTTTAGTGGAATAGCAACGCTTTAGTTGTTCAGTTAACCTCGTAATGTGCCTGTTGACTTTAAGCTCGGCTACCGTATTGAAATTGGTGCTGACCTCAACGAGGGCCGACCTCAGCGTCGACATCGAGTACAGTTCTGGACTTATCTCGATGATCTGAGAACTGATTTTGGGTTCGGTCTGGGTCTAGGTCGAAACTCACATAGTGAATTCCGGAGATTCTTTATTTCATAAATGTTGATACCTCTCTGAAGTATATCTGAATATATTCCATCATTGACATTTCAGACAGTGTTCTAAAGTGATTTGTGAATTTTAGGCATTCACATAAGCCGAGTTGAAGCAGCTTTAAGTAAGATCCATTGAACTTAACTAATCTTAGATAGAAATAAATCATAGACAAAAACAAATCATAGGAAAAAATAAAGAGAAATTGCCCAATATAGGAGTAAACATAAACATAATTGCACAAATAGGAGTGAAACTTAAAACTTTCTTCAATAGGAGTAAACATTAATTTTGCACCCTTAATACCCCTAACCTAGTTAATTCTAAAATATGACTTATTTGATCCTAATAATTAAAATATTAAAAAAAATTCTAAAATATTTTTAAAAAATATTGAAATAATAAAAATTAAAAAAAAAAAAATTTAAAAAAATAAAAATTTTTGAAAACAAATAAAAATAGATAAACCATATTAAAAAATATAAAAAAATTATGCAGGCCTTTGCCGCAACCTCGGCCATCACCCAGCAATGTCACCTCCGATCGGCGGAAAATATGCCATCTTATGTTAAAACTTCCATTTTTCTTTGAAAATGTCATGAAGATGGCAGTTTTGCTCTTTGAAAATGCCAAATTTTCTCAAAATCTGCCATCATGATGGCATTTCGGAAAAATGTTGGCATTTTTTTCGGTGGTCGGAGCTGGTGGTGCTGGGAAGTTGTTGAGGCGGCGGCAGACGCCTACATATTTTTTTATATTTTTTAAATTTTAATTTTTTAGTTTTTTATTTAATATTTTTTATTTTAATAATTTTTATTTTTATTAATTTTAATTATTATGAAGTATGTTTTATTTGATATATTTTTGTGTTTTTTCATTTTTTTTACAATTTTATTATAAATTAATGTTATTCCTTTTATGTTTTAATTATTAATGAAAGTTCTTGGGACTTGGGTAGTGATATACTTGTCTAAACACTAAAGTTACTCCTATTCAAAACATGGTACTCCAATTTTTGCATTTTGCTTATTTTTTACTCCTATTTGGGGAATTCTCTCAAAAATAAATCATAGATTTAAGTGTTCATAAATAAATCTCTTTAAAGCATTCATATTGTTAGCAGGTCATGTTGAGAAGCCGACGGATGAATCTGCAATGTTATGAGATTAACATTTTCACTTCTTCGACTATGATTTTATCACGAAAGGTGGATTATTAAAAATGTCAACGAGTATGTTTAACAATCAGCAGTTGGCTGCTAACTGATAGCCGATTGAATAAGCTAGACACTAACGGATTCCGTTAGCTGTTTTAACCAACCGATTTCATTAGTGGTTTGAAGTGAAATGTTTAGTAGCTTAGATGTTTGTAAGAATTTTGCTCCTCTCGAAATCTCCATTAGGAGAGAGATATAGAGAGGTGGAGAAATGGTGGGGTAGAGAAAAAGAAAAGATTATGTTTAATTACTTTTGATGTAAGTGTTGTAAATTAAAGGTGATGTGATGTGTTAAATAAAGTGATGATGCAACATATCTCTTTTGTAAGACTTTTGTAAGAGTTTTTATACCTCTAGCATAGTGGCGTCTCTCCTGGGAGTTGGGCTTGGGCTAGGCAAATGCCTTGAGCCTCACTTGTCAAGGGGCCCCAAAAAAATATTAGTATTATATTATTATTAATCTTTTTTTTGTGACGTCCTAAGAAACTTTGTCACTTTCCATTTTAATCGATTGTATGAGGTTCATGTAATTTCTCTCTCCTCTACACAAATCTCAACATTTTTATTTTATTATTACTCCGTGCCAATAATACCATGAACTCCAAGAGTTTTTTCCCGAAATAATGCTAATTAAATAAATAATTCTCAAAATACTGCTGGGTTAGAAATAATTTCCAAAATATTGCTGGGTTAACCGTGGTTAAGGAAAGCCGCCACTTGAAGTGGCGGCTCTTCTCTTACAGTACAAGAGCCGCCACTTCAAGTGGCGGCTCTTCCCTTACGGCACATTTTGTACATATATAAAACGTAGTATGTTTCAAGATTTTTTTAACTATCTTCCCGATTGAGTTTTGAGCTGAAATTTGGTATGAATAAACTAGACTTGATGAGGAACATGCTCAAAAAATTTTATCAAAAAATTTCACCGGGAAGGCCCTCTGATGATGTTGTCCGCACGGGGCTACCGGTCAGAACTTCGTGACAGGAATGAGACATTTTTATGAAATTTGAGGGGCTTCCGAGTCAAATTTTTTGATAAAATTTGGTGATCGTGTTCATCCTAAAGTGTAGGTTATGTTCACTCAAATTCAGATTAAAATTAAATCAAGAAGTTAGTTAAATAATTTATTGCCGAAAACTGCATTTTTAGGCCGAAAAAATTATGCAATTTTTAAAAATTTATTTAACTAACTCCCCGATTGAATTTCAATCGAAAATTTGGTGGACATATCTACATTCCATGGGAACATGCTCACAAAATTTCATCAACAAATTCGACCCAGAAATAGTTCAAATGAAATAGGCTTAAAATTGCAACTTTTAGACGGCACGAGACAAATTACATGAACATTTTCAGAAGGCACGGGACAAAATTTTTGCCAAGAAAATTTTAGAAGTTATGCAACTAATCGTTTGGTATGTTATTGCCGGGAAGCAATATTTTATAATTTCTTATTGTTTCATATTTGTTGATAATTTTTCCATAAGTCATCATGTTTTAGCTGCATGTGTTATATATGATATGCATTTCCATTTTTACATTACTTTGAGCATTTCTATCAATAGTTTGTATGTTGTAGGATTACACATGCCTCTCTAGATTACAGAATTTGAATTTACTGTTGCCTTCCAGATATGAGCTCAAGTGAATTAGGTGAAACTGTGATTCTGCCATTGGAACTTAGAGCAATAGTACCGGTTGATAAAGTTGATATGAGCGTTGAAACTGTTTCCAATGGCCATAAACTGCCCAAAGAGAGTTCATATTTATTTAGCAAGTGGAAGAGAAAGAATTGTTTGTAATGGCATAATGATGGCGGTGATAGCTCGAATATGCCGTTGGTTCCTTTCAATCGGGAAGTTAGTTAAACAAATTTTTGAAATTGCACAATTTTTAGGCCTAAAAATACATGTTTTTTCAATAAATAATTTAACTAACTTCTTGATTTAAATTTAATCTGAAATTCGGTAACATAATCTACACTTTAGGAAGAACATGATCACCAAATGTCTTCAACAAAATCAACTCGGAAGCACCTCAAATTTCATAAAAATGTCCTATTCCTGTCACGACATCCTGACCAGAACCCCCGTGGAGAAATCTTCCAACACCATCAGAGAGTCTTCTCAGTGGAATTTTTTGATGAATTGTTTTTAGCATGTTCCTCATCAAGTCTAGTTTATTCATACAAAATTTCAGCTCAAAATTCAATAGGGAAGATAGTTAAAAAATTCTTGAAACATACTGCGTTTCATATATGTACAAAATGTGTTGTAAGAGAAGAGCCGCCACTTGAAGTAACGGCTTTTGTACTGTAATAGAAGAGCCGCCACTTCAAGTGGCGGCTTTTCTTAACCACGATTAACCCAGCACTATTTTGGGAATTATTTAATTAATTAGCATTATTTAAGGAAAAAACTCCCACTCCAAGCGACCAAGCAATCCCAAGCATCAGCCATTCCGCCATTCCACCGAAAAGAACAATCTCTTGCCGATTGCCGATTCACCGGCGATTGCGATTCTGAGACCAAGAACTCCAAGACCAGCGGCAGCGTCCAGTCCAGGCGGTCCAGGCTCCAGGGAAGAGAAGAATCCCTGTGTGTCTTTGTCTTTCGCTAATCTCTCTGATTTCATATTTCTCTAATTTGGTAATTTGTTTTCTAAATAATGAAATACATACATCATAAAGCTCTAAATTTTAATGTCTTTTTGTGGTTCAGAACAGTTGTTCTATTCAATCTCGGTTAGCAAAAATGCAGGAGTAATAAATTACTCCGTAATAATTCACGATAATGACTTGCACCTCAATTCTTAATGAAAATGAAAATTCGAAATACTTCGTACTTGTTATTGTTAGCATGTAGGGTAGTACAGACTACAGAGTATGTATTTGGGAATTGGGATATGAGAAAGTAATTGGGACTTGGCCACTTAGGTATTGTATTTTAGAGCCATAGGGGTATTACCGATTGGCCTATGAGATGAATAAGATAAAATTGGAAAAGTAGTTATTTTGTTTACTTTTTTATTGTATTTATTTTGCACTTTAAAAAGCAAGAAGAATAGATCAATAGGGTGTTTCAAGTACAAGTTTGCGGTGTATTTTTCATATGTTTGCATGGTTACATTTAAAAACTTGTCCTTACGATTATTAAAAATATTATATTGTACACTTTGAATATGTTTTCTTTCATATGATGTTTTTTATTTAATTTATTTCTGTTCAATATGATTTTGCATTGTACTTTTTATTTTTGTCAAGGGCCTCCCAAATGCTAAAAATGCTCCTGCTCTAGCATAACTCTTAGTTGTTAAGATGTAATCGTATTGTTGATGTTTATTCCTTCAACTCCAAAGGTCCAACACCTTCCCTTGGGTTTCAGACGGAATATGAAGTGGACTAAATTGATAGTATGGTGCAAGCAAACAAGGAAAGGACAAGTAAAAATAGCAGTAAGTGGGCCATATCTTATTTAATAACAATAAAGGTCCGTATACAACACACTTCACTACAAGCTCAAAGGCCGTTCATCTATCTCAGTAAGAAGAGAGGAGATAATTGCTATTGTTAGAGAGAATCAGTTGTCAAAAAATTTAAAGTAAAGAATTTATGATTCTGTTTATATCTATCTTCTCTATACAAAAAAACTCAACCGCATTAGTTTTTATTTTTTTCATTTTGCACTCAATGAAAACAGACTATATACTTTTTGTATGAACGTAAATATTTTATATAGGTTCAAATATATAGGTATGAATTTGAGAATTTGTAGAGCTCTCTAAGAAGCCACATATATATTACTTCATAGTACTCCGTATTAAACTTTACCGACTTTGAGTTAATTAGATAATAATAATAAAATGAAAATTTAGTGATTGAGCTTTGTACAGAAAAAATGAACAAACTTAATTACAAATTAATAGAAAATAGAAAGTTGGAAAAGCGAAATGAATGGAAGGAGTAATTTATTCCAACACTTTTGTGGGAATTTTTCGTTATTTTCTTTGACAAAACGACCACCAATATAATTGAATATTTAATTAATATGGTAATCATTTCATACAAATCATCATGCACCACGTCATCAATCATCTTGATTTCAGAATTAGTCTTGTACTGCGTAATAGTGTATTAATGTACAATATAATGCAAGTTCCGTAGGGATGGATTTTGAATTTTCAATACGAAGTATAAGAAATACATATTTTTCAATATAAAAAATACATAATTAATTATACGAAGTATTAAAAAAAGTTCGATCGTCTCTCGCTTCTCTCTAGGGCTTCGACCGCTTGGAGTTTTTTTCCGTCTTTGATTTTAATCGAAGGACGGCTGCTTTTTCCGTCTTCGATTTTAATCGAAGGACGGCCGCTATTTCCGTCTTCGATTTTAATCGAAGGACGGCTGCTGTTGTTTGTGCTTCATACTCGAAGGGCGGATTTGTTGTCATAGCTCGAGGAGATCGGCGTTGTGGTCAAGGTTCGAGGATGATGTATAAAGGGATGGATTTAGGGGGGGGGGGCGGGGGGGGCGACCGCCCCCCTTGGACATTCAATTTTTTTTACCATATATGTAATATTTTCATAAAACTTTCATAATTTAATTAGATTCGCCCCCCTTAGCTTTTAATTTTCAAAGTTAGTATATAGTCTTACATAATGTAATACTTAATTGGAGATTTGAAAGAATAAACATTTAAAATAATTTACATAACTGAAACAAATAAACAATAGAGTAACTCGTTATTTAAGATTTAGGATACTTATTATATAAGAATTCCTAGTTTTGTAATGTTTAATTATCTTTATTAGATAACAAGTACTGGATTTTGTAAAACATATATCAAACAATATTAAATACCAGACACACTAATTACACAATTTTTAGATCACGTGAAATGAATCCAAGATATAAATATTTATAGACATTAGATTACATAATTCATTTACTTCTTGGTTTCTGAAAATAATTTATTGCATGGATAATAAACTTTAAATTATTATAGAATTAATAAAAATATTAAAATATAATATGCGCCATATATATGTGTGTGTGTGTGGTGCACATTATTCCAAAAATAACAATCTCATACATACTAGTATACTACTATTGTAATATTAAGAAAACTTCTCATGAGTCATGACTCACGAACACCCTCCTTGGTGGACAAAAATTACAATTCAATAACCGATTTATGAGGTTAAACAATGTAGAAGTTATTAAAAATGTATTGGTTGATGTCTTTGTCATCGTCTAAACTTAAAATGTATTAGATTTAAATGCCGTTCGGGATGTGCATGTATTAATGTCATTTTTTGAATAAAAATAGCCGCATAGCTCCACAGTAGCGAAAAAATTTCGCCCCGCTACACTAGGGGAAAAATATTCACCCCGCTACACTAACGAAAAAAAATTCACCCCCTACATTAACGAAAAATTTCGCCCCCCTTGACTCAGAATCCTGGATCCGTCCCTGGATGTATTGCTGTCATCGTTGGAGAAGATCGGCGTCGCCTATCCGTTTACTCTGGTTGCATGAAGCAGGGATGAGTTTGGTTATGCAGGGACGGAGGATTGATGCATGGCCTTTGGCAGACTAAGGTCACGTAGTATCAATTAACATGGTACCGGTGGTAAGACCTCCTCCTGAACCACCACCATGGGATGTACGAGGTGCTAGAGTTCGTGAACGCTTTTCTTGTACTGCGTAATAGTGTATTGTACTGCGTAATAGTGTATTAATGTACAATATAATGCAAGTTCCGTAGGGATGGATTTTGAATTTTCAATACGAAGTATAAGAAATACATATTTTTCAATATAAAAAATACATAATTAATTATACGAAGTATTAAAAAAAGTTCGATCGTCTCTCGCTTCTCTCTAGGGCTTCGACCGCTTGGAGTTTTTTTCCGTCTTTGATTTTAATCGAAGGACGGCTGCTTTTTCTGTCTTCGATTTTAATCGAAGGACGGCCGCTATTTCCGTCTTCGATTTTAATCGAAGGACGGCTGCTGTTGTTTGTGCTTCATACTCGAAGGGCGGATTTGCTGTCATAGCTCGAGGAGATCGGCGTTGTGGTCAAGGTTCGAGGATGATGTATTGCTGTCATCGTTGGAGAAGATCGGCGTCACCTATCCGTTTACTCTGGTTGCATGAAGCAGGGATGAGTTTGGTTATGCAGGGACGGAGGATTGATGCATGGCCTTTGGCAGACTAAGGTCACGTAGTATCAATTAACATGGTACCGGTGGTAAGACCTCCTCCTGAACCACCACCATGGGATGTACGAGGTGCTAGAGTTCGTGAACGCTTTTCTTGTAGTTTTTATCTGTTTGTTATTTGTTTTCTTGTGTCCACTTTTGTTGTTGGTTTTGACAGTTTGTTTGAGTTTTTTGCCTCTCTTTATGTCATTGAGTATGGTTGGATCTATGGGAATAGGTTTGGCTGTGTCAAGCCTACTACATGGTTAGCGATTCGTGTTGCTCTTTCAGGGGTGACCGTCTCAAAGTCTCACCATAGGGTTACAGTCGTAGTTCTTGAAGTTTTAGTTGGTGTCGGTTTTATTTTCCTTTTGCTTGATGTAATGATCCTGAATCTTTTGATATGAATAGAGGCCCGTTTGATGATAAAAAAAATCATCTTGATTTCAAATACTCCGTATTTTAAAATTTGCCACACTTTTCTTTTTGGTATCTATTTAAAAGTTTGCTACATTTTCCCTTTTTGATAAGTTTTTTCCTTTAAAAAATACACTACTCTTACTTTATCTACTTTTTATCTTCTCTTTTATACTTTTACACACTCTCTTTTACTTTTTCTACACTATTCATTACCCCTACTATTTCATTCTTAAATAATGTGCTCAATGTTATTGTAGTGAACTTCTAAATATGGAGGGAGTACTATCTCTTTTTTAATTTGTTCAAAAAAATTGTCACTAAAATTTCCATTTATAGTAATGAATTTATGGGTTTACTTATTTCTGTCTCGTCTACATAAACTTCTACCACACAATTTTTAAGTTTCTTATTTCACACCTAATATAAAGTAGAGAAAGTCCAACAGGACGGAGGGAATATAATAGTGCAATTGTTGGTGGGCACTTTTAAGGAACAATGCAAGTAGATTTTAAGCTATCTATTAATAATTCAGAGACGGGAACCACCTCTCTTTCGTATTATCATACGGAGTAATATATATGAATATGGTTATTGTTAGTAGCTCTTGATCGGAACCGTCTTGTGCAGAATTCACCTTTTGAGGTGATTCTAGGTGGAATTTTATTTTTATGAAATTTTGTGAGAGTGATCTTCACACAGTGTAGATTGTGTCCACAAAATTTCAGCTTAAAATTCAATCGCAAAGTCATTTAAATAAATTCTTGAAAGAATGTGTGTTTTATACTCCTACGGTCCCTTAAAACTTTGTCAACTTTTCTTTTTGGATGTCCCATTAACTTTGTCATTTTCCCTTTTAAGTGAAGAATTTATGGTTCCAGTTAATTCTCTCACTTTTGCACAAACTTCAACCACACAGTTTTTACTTTATTAATCCTCGTGTCGGTCAAACTTGACAAAATTTTAAGGGACGGAGGTAGTATATATAGTTGCATTAAAAAAAAGTTAGCTTTTATAACATCTGAGTGAAACACATGGACGTCTGGTGTACCACCATCTACATTTGTGTTATCCGGGTCTGAGTGAACACATATATAAAAAAATGATTATGATAGAGTATATAGACTCGGACCCCCGGGTCTCATGACTATTGGGCCCGGACAGCGGCCCACATACGCTCAATAGATAGCATTTATCTCATTGTACACTCTATTTTATTCATGTATATCCATTAGAATAGATTAAATACAATTTATAAGCCATTTATTGGCCTTTTATTGTAACTGGGCCAGCCAGGCCCAAGCCTGGAAGTTCAGCCCTCTTTTCTCCTATAAATATTCCCTATGGGAGCCATGTAAAGGATTGGAAAGTTGGAAGTTGGAAATTCATTTTATACATATTAATTTATCTCTCTAGCTCTCCCTTCTCTCTAGATTAAATAATCTATCATTTTGGTGCTTCCATAATATGATGAACCAGACATCATATTATGGACGGTCGCTCGACCCATCCCTTAGTCATCTTTATTTGATGACTAGGACTACTGATCATGATGAGCTACCCACATCTAGGGATCGGCCTCGGCCATCCCCTCAGCAGACGGACACCGCTGCAGCTCCATCTCTAGGCCGAGGGGCTCACACCTTTTGCTTCATTTTGGGGGCATCCGGTGTACTCTTTTTCCCTCATTAGGAATTTTTCCCATAGGGTTTTTCCTAATGAGGTTTTTAACGAGGCATCTCCCCATTGTGGATCAAAAGGTGTCAACCCTCGGCCCCCTGTTGAAGACATCATCAAACATACATTACTTTACTCCTCTTCACCTCATTACACTCGCCTCAAGGAGTGGGGGACTGGGAGAGCGGGGGACTTAGCGCCTCCACCATCGAAAAACCACATATTCAAAAATTTTGCAAGGATTGCCACACGCACCGACGACATCATCATATCACATACATATTCAGCTGCCACATCGGCCAGTACATATACATAGCTCCCCGGCCTCAAGACTGGTGGTGATGGTCTCTGGTCTGCGACCTTCGGCTGATGATTCTCCCACAGGGTTGCCTCAGTCAGGGCTCACCAATGGGATCGATCATCGGCTTGGGAGTTCGGGTGAGGTGCTTCGGCGACGACAGCAGTTTACTCGTCGGACGACGACAGATCAACACACAGTTCTACTCTCTATCGCCTCGAGTGCTCTCGACTCAGAGAGTGGGGGACTCCGGATAGAGTATATAGACTCGGACCCCCGGGTCTCACGACTATTGGGCCCGGACAGCGGCCCACATACGCTCATAGATAGCATTTATCTCATTGTACACTCTATTTTATTCATGTATATCCATTAGAATAGATTAAATACCATTTATTAGTCATTTATTGGCCTTTTATTGTAACTGGGCCAGCCAGGCCCAAGCCTGGAAGCCCAACCCTCTTTTCTCTTATAAATATTCCCTTTGGGAGCCATGTAAAGGATTGGAAGGTTGGAAGTTGGAAATTCATTTTATACATATCAATTTATCTCTCTAGCTCTCCCTTCTCTCTAGATTAAGTAATCTATCAATACACACACACACATATTTAGAGTAATCTTCTTGTTAGGACTTCATGACCGGAACCGTTGTCCATCCGAGACCATTTGGGGTCATTCCCAATGGAAATTTTTGATGAAATATTTTGGGCATGTTTTTCATCAAATCTAATTTATGACCATTAAATTTTAGTTAAAATTCCAATCGAGAAGGCAGTCAAACAAATTTTGGAAGATAACTGCGCCAAAATATACATATAAAACACATTTATTTTTAAATTTTGTTTGACTGCCTTCCCGATTGAATTTTGAGTTGAAATTTGGTGGACATAAACTAGACTTCATGAAGAACATGCCCAAGACATTTCATCAAAAATTTCTCTAGGAACCGCCTCAAATGGCAGCGTCTAGACGGCAGATTTGGTACGGAATTCCAGACCTGAACTCTCTCTCTAGAGAGAGAGAGAGAGCTCTGGCCGGACAGGCCCCTGGTCCGGCCACCTCAATTTGAGGTGGTTCCCGGTGGTATTTTTTGTCCAAATTTTTTGTGCATGTTCCTCATCAAGTCTAGTTCATCCATACCAAATTTGAGAAAAATATTCAATCGGGAAGGTCGTCAAATGATTTTTGCAAGTTAACTGGTCCGGAATATACATATACAACGCAGTTAACTTGCAAAAATATCATGTAATTTTTTTCTAAACATATTCTTTGTACCGGTCCAGTTCGGCCCAGTCCAGCTCAGTGCTCTGGTTCCGCCCCTGCCTCAATTTTAGGCAATAGGAAACGCGCGGTCTTCCAAAATATAAGGAATGAACTTGCCTCGGAATGCATACAGTAAAAATACGTTCCAATATGCTGTCGAGGAATGCAAAATAGGAACGCATACGGAAATATTTCGTAATTGGCTTACATCTGACGTCGACACTTTTGGGCTACAAACACATGCATGGAATTCTTTTCCTTTTTTATAAGAATATTATTTGATGGAATTTTTTAAGCATGTTCGTCTTGAAGTATAAATTATCCCACAATATTAATTTATAAGCTGAATTTTTCAATAATTTATTTACACTTCGTGACGACATGTTCATAAAATTTCATAAAAAAATGCTACACCAAAGCCCCTTAAATGGGCTTGGTTGGACGGGACTCTCGGTCAATCTGGATCGATGAGATAAGTTCTCTGTGTGTATATATCATGGTGAGTATGTAATTATATATCATTGATAAAAAATGATCAATTTGATAATTAAAAAGATAGAGTATTTAATTAATTAATATGGAAAGCATTGAATAATTTCATACAAATACATCATGCCCGATGTCATCAATCATCTTGAATTTTCAAATGCAATAGTGCAATTGTTGGTGGGCACTTTTAAGGACGATCAATGAAACTAGGTTTTAAGCCAAACATATAGATGGCTTATAAATAATTCAGAGACGGAAACTAATAACCACCTCTGTCAATCTCACCATAATCGTTTATGATGGCTCTCAACTCCTGTATGAAGCATATAATTATTTTTCTGGCATCCTCTCTTTCCATGCAGTCATGGACGGGGAGATGCGGCGGAGAACCCACCCCTACTGCTGCGGCGGTGAATGCGGAGGAACTCCCAATATCTGAGCACTTTGAGCAGTGGATGATCCTCCATGAGCGTTCTTACAGAGATGAAGTAGAGAAGGCAGAACGGTTCGAGATCTTCAAGAAAAACAAAGCGTACGTGGATTCTTTCAATCTGCAGGCGGCGGAGAAGAACCACACGTACACACTCGGAATCAATCAGTTCTCCGACATGACTGATGACGAGTTTATAGAATTTTAGGTGTCAGACTCCATAGATGCAGAATAGAGCTTTTAGGAATAAAAATGAAGAGGATGAAAAGCAACTACTATTCAGAAGGTTGATTACAAGTTCTTATACCAAGAAGACATAAGCCAGTAGAATTAACGAACTAAGAACAACAAGTATAACTAATCTGTAACTGACTAAAATGATCTAGATTCTTCTGGACTCTTCTCTTCATTGTGTGCGTATGTATGTCTTCTATTTTCCACGTATGCATTGCTATTGGGTGAGTTGGACATCTGCATATTTTTATTACTCCAAGACCCCCCCTCAAGAGGAGAGTACAAGTTTTGTACACTCATCTTGGAAAGCAAAAAGTGAAAAGGATTTCTTCCAAGTGGTTTAGTGAACAAATCAGCTATTTGATGTGCAGTTGGAACATAGAGAGTATGAATAACACCAGATTGTATCCATTCCCTTATGAAATGACAGTCAATTTCCACATGTTTTGTTCTTTCATGATGTACTGGGTTAGCAGCCATAGCAAGAGCAGATTTACTATCACAGAATATAGTGGCAGTCTTGATAGGAAGCTGGAGTTCTTTAAGGAGCTGTAGTAAACTGAGTACTTCAGCAGCAGATGCAGCTAAGGCTCTGTATTCAGCTTCTGCTGAACTTCTGGATACAGTATTTTGTTTCTTGGATTTCCAAGAAATGAGAGAATCTCCTAGAAACATGCAATATCCTGTTATTGATCTGCGAGTGTCAATACAGCTTGCCCAGTCTGAGTCTGAGAATCCCTTTAATTCCAATTTGGAATTAGATGAGTAGAACAATCCTTGTCCAATAGAACCCTTGAGATAACGAAGGATTCTATGAGCTACAGATAGATGGGAGATACCAGGTTTTTGCATGAATTGAGCAAGAGTATTTACTGCAAAAGTGATGTCTGGCCTGGTAATGGTTAAGTACAGCAACTTGCCAATTAGTGATCTGTATGTAGAAGCATCAGTGAGGTAGTGTTCATCAGTTGTACTTAAACGCAGTTTGCTATCCATAGGAAATGACAGAGGTTTGCAATCTTGATAGCCATAGTCTTGCAAGAGTTCTGTTGTGTATTTCTTCTGGCATACATAAAGACCATGAGAGGATCTAGCAACTTCTAAACCCAAGAAGTACTTGACTGGTCCCAAATCTTTAATCTTGAACTCAGTGTTTAAGAACTGTTTGATTTGAGTAATTTGTTGCATGTTGGAACATGCAACCAAGATGTCATCTACATAGACCAAAAGAATCAAAGTAAAACCGTCTTTGTGCAAAGTGAATAGAGAATAATCAACATGAGATTGCTCAAAACCATAACTCTTTAGAGCAGTGGATAGCTTTGAAAACCATTGTCTGCTGGCTTGCTTAAGTCCATAAAGACTTTTCAGCAACTGACATACTTTGTTCTTTCCTGGAGAATTGAAACCTTGGGGAATTTCCATATATACCTCTTCATGGAGATCTCCATGAAGAAAAGCATTGTTGACATCTAATTGTTCCAAAAACCATTGCTTGGATGCAACTAGAGCTAAAAGTATTCTTACTGTTGTGAGTTTGGCTACAGGAGAATAAGTATCCAAAAAATCTAAGCCTTCAATTTGGGTAAAACCCTTGGCAACAAGGCGTGCTTTGTATCTTTCAATACTGCCATCAGCATTGTACTTAACTTTGTAAACCCATTTGCACTTAATGGGAGTTTTTCCTGCAGGTAAATCTGTAATAACCCAAGTTCCATTCGACTCTAGAGCTAATATCTCATCCTGCATGGCTTTTCTCCAGTTGACATCAGAAGAAGCTTGTGTATATGAAGTGGGTTCAATAATTTGTGAGATGGAAGTGGAGAAAGCTTGGTGGGAGGAAGAAAACTTGTGAGAAGAAATGTAACTGGTCATAGGATATAAAGACTTACCCTTCTTGCCTTTGAAATGTGAAGATTGCTCAGCTGCGGATCCATTTTGAATGACTGTACATACATAATCCTGAAGATGAGAGGGAATTCTTCTTGATCTGGTTGGTCTATTTGAAATCAAAGAGGATGAATCATTTGATTGAGGTGGGTTTGGAACTTGGTTGGTTTCTATGGAATTGGAGGGTGTGGAAGTATGATTCCTTTCAGAGATAGGAGTGGGTATGACTGTTTCATCATTTTTCTGGTTTGAATTAAGGTATGGAAAAGTGGATTCATGGAATGTGACATCTCTAGAAATGAAGATTTGTTGGGTTTCTATATCAAAGACTTTGTACCCTTTGGCATTTAAGGGATATCCTATGAAAATACACTTCCTTGCTCTGGACTGGAATTTATCTTTGTGTCCAGCAAGGTTGGAAGCAAAGCAGAGACAGCCAAAAGTTTTGAGATTGGAATAATCAGGTAATTGGTTATGGAATACTTGAAATGGAGATTTATTTCCAAGAACAATGGAAGGTAGTCTGTTTGTCAAGTGAACTGCAGTGAGTATACAGTCACCCCAGAATTGTAAAGGAAGATTTGCTTGGAACCTTAAAGATCTAGCAATGTTTAGAAGGGTTTGATGTCTTCTTTCTACAACTCCATTTTGTTGTGGAGTGTAGGGACATGAGGTTTGGTGAATAATTCCTTCTTTGGAATAGAAATCTGTGAGGATAAACTCACTTCCATTATCAGTTCTTATGATTTTGATGTGAGTGGAATGTTGTGTTAAGACAAGTTTATGGAATGAAATGAGATGATGTTTGGTCTCAGATTTTGTTTTCATTAAGCAGCACCAAACAAATCTTGAGAAATCATCAACAATGGTTAAGAAGTATTGGAAGCCATTGTATGTGGGAGTGGAGAAAGGCCCCCAAATATCACAATGGATAAGATCAAATGGTTTTTCAGTCTTTATTGAACTAACAGGAAATGGAAGTCTATGCTGTTTAGCTAAAGGACAGATTTCACATTCTTTATTATTGAAGTCAGAGAAATGCAATACATCTTTTAATGCAAGAAGTTTTGTATCAGAAACGTGGCCTAATCTTTTATGCCACAAACTAGATACAACATTATTAGAAAAGGAACATAAAGAATCTAGAAAGGAGTTGTTCTTCTTTGGATGCAGCATGTACAGCCCTTTCATTAGATCAGCAGTGCCAATCTTCTGTTTCAAAAGCTTGTCCTGTATATCACATTTATCAGCATAAAAGGTGAGGGTTAAAGAAGTCTCAGAGAGTAATTTGCTAACAGACAGCAAGTTGACATTGAAAAGAGGTACATATAGGACATTGGTCAGGACAATTTTTGACAAAAGTCTGACAGTACCAATGTGGGTGACTGCCACTTTTGAGCCTGTGGGTAAATGAACAAAGGTGTTATGGATAGGGGTAAGAGTGTCAAACAAAGAAATATCATTGGCCATATGATCTGTAGCTCCTGTATCTAGGATCCAAGAATGATTGGAAGTCAGAACACTATTAGCTTTTGAGATGAATGTACAAAAACTACCTGAAATGGATGTTTGGTTAGAAGAAGTTTGTGTGAGATTAGTGTTCTGAGACTGAGCCATATTCTGAATTAAGCCAAGCAGGTGTTGATATTGCTCCTGAGTGATGTTGGAACTAGTTTTATTATCTGCAACCTGAGGAGCACTCTCCATTTGAGTAGTGTAAGCTCTACTAGGTCCTGCATTTCCTCTTATTTGTTGAGCCTCATTCTGCATCATTTGCTTCCCTTTTGGCTTGTACCCAGGTGGATAACCATGTAACTTGTAACATTTATCCACAGTGTGGTTGGTATATCCACAGTGAGTACACACAACTTTGTTGTCTTTCCTTTGATTAGAATTGTATGGCTTGTAACTCCTGGCATTTGATCCATAATTTGCAGCATGGGTGTTTTCCTCTTGTTCAGAGATATTACTCTTACTAATCATGATCATAGGTTCAACATTCAATCCATTACTTGAACTCCTTTGCATCTCATCTTGTAATACAAAGCTGAATACTTGGTTCAGGGAGGGAAAAGGCTTTATCACCAAGATTTGTCCACGGATTCCAGTATAATTGTCATTCAAGCTCATCAGAAACTTCATTGACATATTTCTTTCTTCTCTTTCCCTCATAGTCTTCAAAAAATCACATTTGCAACCTTTGACAACACCACATGTGCATCCTATCACCGGATTGTATTGATTTAACTCTTTCCAGAGAGAATCCAACTTATTATAATAATCTGTAACACTCAAGCTTCCTTGTACTGTGGCATAAATCTGCTTTTGAAGGTCAAAAATTCGTGGAAGATTACCCTGTGAGAATCTTTCATCCAAGGTTTTCCACATTTTGGCTGCAGAATCTTCATAGAGTATGCATTGAGCAACTTCCTTGGTGCACGAATTAAGAATCCAGGATTGTACTGTCAAATCACACCTTTCCCAGATTTCGAAGTTTTCATCACCTTCGCTAGGTTTTTCAATTCCTCCATTAACAAATTTCATCTTATTCTTTGCACCAAGTGCTATGCGCATAGCCTTATTCCAGGAATGAAAGTTATTCCCGTTGAGTTGAGGATTCACCAAAGCTGCGTTCGGATTATCTCCTGAGCCGATGTAGTAAGGACTGTTGACATCCTCCAGCAATGAACGATCGTTTCTAGGCGGCATTGTTATTTGGTCTTAAGCGTATCGCTCTGATACCATATAGAATTTTAGGTGTCAGACTCCATAGATGCAGAATAGAGCTTTTAGGAATAAAAATGAAGAGGATGAAAAGCAACTACTATTCAGAAGGTTGATTACAAGTTCTTATACCAAGAAGACATAAGCCAGTAGAATTAACGAACTAAGAACAACAAGTATAACTAATCTGTAACTGACTAAAATGATCTAGATTCTTCTGGACTCTTCTCTTCATTGTGTGCGTATGTATGTCTTCTATTTTCCACGTATGCATTGCTATTGGGTGAGTTGGACATCTGCATATTTTTATTACTCCAAGAGAGTTCGCCATCAAATACTTGAGTCGCCGCCCGCCGTCTAAGCGGGTCCGAAACCGGACGGCGGAGTCGCCGTCCCCGTCGTTTCTGAACAAAAATGATTATAATGTGAGTTTGGATCAGCTGCCGGGCAACGTAGACTGGAGAGAAAAAGGTGTTGTTACTAGAGTCAAGGACCAAAAAAGGTGCGGGTGTTGCTGGGCGTTCTCTGCGGTGGCGGCTCTGGAGGGGATGAACAAAATCTTTCTCGGAACTTTGTTTGAGTTGTCGGAACAGAACGTGATAGACTGCACGCCCGACCGCGGCCATGACGGGTGCTGGAGTAAACACATGATAGATGCGTTCAATTATGCGGAGGATAACGACGGCGTCGCGTCGGAGAAGGACTACCCCTTTGTGGGTGGTAGACAGCAATGCAAAGATTATTACATTCTCCCAACTGGGGGCAGTACCTCAAACTATGGCGAGGTGCCGGAGAATAATGAGATGGCTCTGCTCGCCGCCGTCGCAAGGCAGCCCGTCTCCGTCGGCCTCACTTACAGCCCTGATTTCATACCGAATTTCAAGAGCTATCGCTCCGGGATTTTCAACGGCGGCCTCAACGGCTACTGCGGAACCGGCAACAACCATGCTGTCGCTATCGTCGGATACGGCACCGTCGTCCCGTATGCTCCCTATTGGATTGTCAAAAACTCTTGGGGGCTCGTTGGGGAGAGTATGGTTATATGAGGATGGCAAGACAGAATGAGAATGGTAAGGGTGGAACATGCGGAATTAACAACGATCCCGTTTACCCTATCCCCTACTCCACTGATTGATTAAACTTTTAATTAAGGATGTTTTTTTAGACTAAACTTGTTGGTCTGGTGTGGTTTGATCTGATCTGGTCTTTGTGTATTTTATAACCGTCCTAGTCTCTGGTCTGATCTGATCCTAATTGTATGTTATATATACACTTGCTCCTCATTAATCACTCCCCTGCCATTATCATTGTCTGTTTGTGTATCTTTCTTGTTTCCTAAGT